CACACACACACACACACACACACACACACACACACACACACACACACGGTGTCGATGACATTTGCATAGTTTCTGTTGGACACTCTTTATATATGCGGTCGGGCATTGTATTAATAATATTATGCGTATGCATGCAAATTTATATATAAATATAATATACTGTAAGATTCTCTATGTGTATTGACCAACAGGTATTAATAATATAAGTTCTCATTGTGTTATAATACGATACGAAAACGAAAAGAAAGAAGGAAAACAAACGCTCTATATATGGAAAATTAAGGTCAATTATACTTGAGGTAAAAAAATATATACAATACAAAAGTGCTCTTTTTATGCCATGCTATACCACACTCTCTCTCACTCCGAACGTATATATTTTTTCATGTTTCGAGAGTATTGTTAAAACAATAACAAGTTTCTAAGCACTGTTCCAGAACATACCGTACCTCCGTTATATGCAAATGGGCACGATTTAAATTTTAATAAAACTCAGCTTTTAAATACCCTTTTGTTTTATTTTGTGATTTAATCCAGATATAAACCTTCTTGACCGGGTATTATATAGGGGATGTTTCGAAAGATTTAGTACGGCCTCTATTGTGCGCGCGCGTGTGTGAGTGTGTGTATGTGTGTGTGTACGTATATGTATGATAAATAATATTATATAAACATATCGGGAACGGCCATTAGGACCGGTTGAAATATTTTAATTTATTGAAAATGAGACGGTTTACTGTGCGGCGCCTATAAATACAACGATTGTTCAGAATTATATATAATGGGTGCGAGTGTGTATTAAATATAAACTATATAACGTCTGTGTAATATTGAAACAAGCGTTTAATACACGGCCAGACCTAGAGAGATAAAGAGTAACATACACATATGCTTGTAATTATAGATACAGTAGTACAAAACCACTATCTGTGAATTGCATCGAGATTACAATATTATATATATGATCTGTATTCTCGTATTCAGATGTGAGTAAAAATGAAAAGTATAGCAGTGACAGTAGTTAAACGAAATATTTCGTTTAGCATATAATAATAAAAAAATAATAACAGTAATAACACACAACACAGTACGTTGACTTTCACTGAAATTACACTAATATATCGACAACTTGGATTACGATAATCATATGTATGAGACAGGGACGGGTTTTATTACTAACCAACTAACCAAGGGAGGGGCTTATAGAGGTTTAAGAATTTAGTTAGGTAATTTTTTAAATCTATATAAAATTTTAAATTACATAATATGTTTTTGAGTCCCTCATAAGTAAGTCATTTTTTTCACAATAATGACAAAGTTTAAATAGTTACATTATTGGTATCAATTTTAATCTGAAACTATTTTAAAATATAGGAAAATACATGTAATTAACAACATAAGTGAGCTATTTATTTATAAAAAAAATATATATAAAATAGGTACCATATTCATCAATGACCATTGACGATATTTTATTATAATTATTAATATATAATAATACTTTGCTTTATAAAATAGATAGCTCAGTCCCAGGGGGGGCTAATTCCCCCTTATCTACCCTCTTAAACCCGCCCTTGGTATGAGATATCATCTTTGATTACACAGTCATAGTAAGTCATAATAAGATTCAGTGGCATACTTAGAACTGTATGGGGGGGGGGGGGGGGGGGTAAATTTTTAAACAAACAATTTGGTGGTTCTGAACCAAATTAGGCATATCGTAAACTTTAATAGATTATTTGTTTTTATTTGTTATTATTTTTAATATATTTATGAATAAAAAAAATGAAATAACGTGTACTAGTTCCGTTCGTCACTTAGTTAGTCCACGTTAATTTTTAGTTCAACTTGAGTTTAAACATTCAATTCCACTATCATCTAACGCATGTCTTTATTGAATGCAATAGATAAATGATTTTTCTGTTCTCACTAACGACGTCACAAATCAGTCGTCTTCCAGATTATTCACAAAAAACTTGTCGGATTCACATGTACTTCTCAGTGTTAGTGCGGTCTACTTAATTATTGCAAGTGTAAATAAAAAACGTAGGAAAAACGTTCTTTTCTGGTGAAAATTTCTTTAAAAACTCGAAATTTGGAATTGTAGATGATTTGGAATATCACGAGATATTTTATTTAAAAAATTTACACGAATGTCGAGAGCAAATTTTTACTCAATACTTATGAAATATAATTGAATCAGAAATAGTGAGACAAAACACTCGTTTTAGAGAAACTGTTTTAGCTAAAATTAAGTTGTTAAGAACGATATGATATTTTAGCTACCGGAGTGAAATAAAATATAAAAAGTACGGCGTTTTGAACGGATTCCTACTGAGCGCGGAAAATCATGCGTTGTAGCGTGCGTCACGAAAATGTAGACGTTCAACTCGAAAGGACACTATTGACAAGCTATTTTGTTCAACTCGTGGTGCATCAAACGAACAAAAAAGCGTACGAGTGTAAAAATACCATATTATAAATTACAGATTAAAATAGGAATTATTAAATAGTCGTAATATTTACACCATCCCTATCTACAATATTTTCTTGGAAATACTTAAATACGCATAGGTACTCCTATTAGATAATTTACAGCTGCATCAACCAAAAATATAAATCTCATGTAAAACTAATTCTTCCCAAACAATTTGAGAGGGGGTGTTATCCCCCGTTATTATGCCACTGATAAAATTTCTCCTTATTAAACGCAGCTGGGTCGATTGAAATAATATTATGAATATTGTACATACATCGAAAACGACCATCGTCAACACGTTATTATCGGGTGGGTACGTTACCCGACAACGAAGGCTCATAATTAGAGTGTAATAAACCAGGGTATATATAATCTAGACGAGGTGTTTCCCAATTTCAATGAAAAAGGATACCGCCTGTAATTGACGGTTTATACCAGTTCTTCCGAAAGGGGTAACAGAAATTTGGATGTTTTCGTGTATATTGTATATACATATTTTACAAATAAAAAAAACTTATAATCGTGATTATAATAAGAAGGAGTTACGTGTTTACCACCTGGGGTAATTAAATTTCTTTGTTGTAATTATCTTTTTAGACATGAACCATTTGGACACCGACACCGCCGCTGCTGCTAACAGACAGGTCACGTCGAATAATTTTGAGATAATTGGAAAACACCTCTACTTACCGTGTCGCGTGTATTACAATGATGCCTGGGGACGGAAGGTGTGTACAAGTTAAAAATGCTCAGAAATTAATAAATAGGCCGACAAAGTGTGCTGAACGTTTTATTCCACCAAAGCGATTCGAAATTTAAAGTTAATTTTTTTTTAATTTTTTTTCTTTTAATTACAGGTTCATTTTAACACGTCGATCTAAACCTAAATAATGTTCAAAGAACTTTTATTTCACGAGAACTTCCGACTCACTGAGACTCCACACGGACCATGATAATAGAAACATATTATTATTGTTCCATAAATTCCCACGTTTATTTGACCGTCATCATTCGTGGCGGGATGCGGGTGCACTCGAACCTCTGGAGACGTAATTTCGAGTATGTGAGTTACACTATACTGTACTGAATGATACATTAATAAAAATAATTTTAATTTCTAAAACTGATACGTATGCAGTGTATTACATAATATCTAACCTATGCCTTTAATTCGATAAACCAATGATAAGCGCGAGTGGCATGTTATATAATAACTTCTATAAACCGTTTTTGATCATCAAACGTAGCGCGTCCAAATAACTACAGGCAGCGGCGGTAAAAGAGCAGGACGTTTTCATCTCATATATAGGTTTTTCATCTCGACGACGTTGCTCAGTTGGACCCCATATTATGTAGAGTAAAATAAAGTTATGAAATATGAGCATTTTTTCCACCCCTATTAATATTCCGTCCGTCTCGTGGATGTTGACAAGATACCATGTACCCGGATGATCTTATAAGTTAGTATAGAGCACACATTATCAAAATGTATGCTTATATATGTATATATGCTCTTATAGTATATATGTATATATGCTCTTATAGTATATATGTATAGTTAACGTATACGTTATACGTCGACGACGACCATGGTGATGACGCGGTGTGTTAACATGATCGCAGGAACATATGCGATGGATAAAACACTCAAAATTATATAATTGTACTTAGCTAAATATCTTGCTCTATAATTAGAGCGGCGACGGTATTATCACTTGTGGGCGCACGATTTCCCTGCGATAATACGCCATAAAGTCAAAACTGTGTTGACGAATCGCTCGGGGTCCATACGAAAATAAAGTTCAGATAAGGTCGCCACGCACGTATTTAAAGAATTACGCCTTCCTCAGTGAATGGACGATTGGTGTAGATTTATTATTATTATTTCTAAACCCATATTAAGCAAGAGCTCCAAAATCTTTCCGCAAGCGAGTGTTACTTTTATTACTATTATTTTACAGGTTTTATTATTTTATTTTTTTCATACGTATAAAAAATAATCCCCGAGGGTTTACGTACAATACTCTTTGAAAACTCCACCGTCATTCACGAGAATATTCATAACACTACAACGTACCTCACTGTATCGCAACCACAGTTAACGGCAAGTCTAAAAAATACTTCTATACTAAATTGACTGTCGTTTGTGCAACAGCACATTCGATAAAAAAGTAAAATACTGTCTATTTTCTATAAACGTATAAAACTAAGTGTTGTTAAGACGCGTAAAAAAAACCTTTTGTACTT